ATTACATTCGGGATATCAAATTAGAACAAGAACACAGTATGGATTTAACCTCCTAGTACACAGGGAATCAAGGGGCTACGAACACCCAGCAAATAAAAAACTTCATAAAGGAAACTACACAAACTCCAAAAAAGAGACTAACAAACCATTAAAAAAAAAAATCAACCAACAGACACCTACAAATAGTAGAATAAAACCTCTCATACTTCTCACGGGCGCACCGCTACGACACTCAAATCCGCATACGAGACAATCCCCACAACAAAAAACAAAAGAGAGCAGCACATATGAGGCCCAAAACCAAAAACTGGGAATTTACTGAAACTGAAGCGCCTAGTCAGATCTGGCGAAGAGATGACTCTCAAGCTAAATTTGAACTTCAAAAGTCTTCAAGCCGGGAGAGAGAAGATGGAGGGCCGTCTTCAAAGAACCGAACCCGCGGTCTGGGAAGGGGAAGTTGCCATCGAAGGTCTCATCCAAACCTAGATAGGTGAAAAGAAGGCACATACAACCGCGTCCAGCTCAACCCATGACTGAAGGAACGGCAAATCGCACACACAAAAATAATGTCAAAATATGTATCTGCCTGAAAATCTAAAAAACAGAAATAAGATATATCCATCAAATTCCGATGAATTTACTATTGGTCAAATTGAAGCAAAATTAGAAACAAAAGTTTAATTTCGTTTGATTTTGGTTGCACATACTCACCAATTAGCTAGATACTTTTTGGTAGGATTGTAATCGAACCGAATGGGCCGAGTTTGGTCGTTTCGCATTCGTTTTCGTTTACATTCAACCATTGTTCGTGTTCGTCGTGATGGAGATAAGGACATACAATATCTTAATTTGTGATCTTTAATTTAGTTATTTATTCTTTTAATTTATTGTTAGTATTTTTATCCTAAATTTGTTAGCAAAGTTATTTAATTATTCTAGTCTTTCTATTTGGTAGGAAAGATATTTAATTATCTTTGTCTTAGGCAAATTATTTATTTAGGGCTTTTAAGAGTTCTATTCAAATGATTCATCTCCTATAGTTTTAGGTAGTCAAGTTTTATGAAAGAAGAATATATTGTCTTAAAATTTTATCTCTTGTTTTCTCTTTCGTACGTTTTCGCTGCGTTAGTTCGTTTAATTTTTGAGCAAAAAATCGTGTTCGAGCTCGTTCGTTTAATTCGAGTCTGTTCGTGTTCAGACATAAACTTTGAAATGTGTTTGATTAATTCGAAATATGTTGTTTCAAATATGCTCAAACTCAAAAATAAAAATAAAAATTAAAAATATTTTAGATTTTTAATTAAAAATATCATGTAAATATTTTAAAAAATAAATTACTTTATATTATATTAATGTTCGTGAATATTATCAAACATTCGTGAACGAACTCTAATTAATCAAATTTCCTATTTGAACTTGGCTTGATTAAAAAACAATGGAACTCGAGCTCTTATCGAATATACTTGTCTCTGAAAAGATGGCATCCCATGGTTGTAATATAAAGTTTATACATGAAGTGAAAGTATATTGGAGTTTGTTCATTGCAGACTGGGCAAAGCCATGTGGCCAGCAAGTTGTAAGTTGTAATTTAGTAAAGCCAAAGTCGTCTCATTCACACCTTAATTTATCTCCACATGCTATTAAACAAGTGACCACACCACACTACAAGATACCATATATTAAACATAAATTAACATGTCACCTAAAATGTATTTAATATTCGACCTAAGTATACACTCAGTTCGTGATTACACTTTTTTTTTTTCAAATACAAGTATATAATTTTGTGCTCGAGGTTTAGTTATTATTTTACAATTATTGTGGAAATATATGGTTGATGAAGTCAGTAATGTATCCAAATTCTCAACAGCTATCACTGAAGACTTCTAAAGGGGGTGATTAATATACCATTATTTTGGGGCTAATATCATCTCATTTAGGCTCAGTATTTAGCTTCTCAATTGGTTTTTCTGATAATGACATTTAGTTTTTCGTCCTATGTCATTTACCTTCGAACTTCGGTAGATTTTCTCTTTTGATTTAAAATAGGAACCGTCCCAAAGGTTATTAAATAACCTCGACATACTATCGACTATTCCTTTTAATGACTCCCCCGCCAAAACATTTCTATCTTGAGAGGTCATGTCTCATGAGATTTTCATGGAACCTTTGAGGCTCATTTCAAGCAATAAAATGAATCCTTCTTTTTCTGAATCTAACATTCCACTAGCTATCCTCATGGCGGAAGCCCAATCATCTATAAGGACTTCTCGAGATTTTAAGTCTATGATATCTAGATTTAACATTAAACCATAAGGGTGAATGAAGTTTAGCAGACTTCTTGTAAGGGATATTTTGAAGGTTTGACATACGTGAACGCATTTTAGTACCTGCAGAATGCTCATTTTCTGCTTTAAAGAAGAAATCCCCTCTATTGGGCATTTGTTCGTCTTGACCTATACTTGGTGTGAACTAGAAAATTCTTATCTTGGATGTAAGAACGGGGGTGGTGGCTGAGCTCGGGTATCCCTAGTGATTACTGCCGACTCATCTCTCGTGTTCATTTTTAAATCTACTAATCCCATGAAGGATTCGGCTAGATCATGTAAATCTTCAATATTGATTTGTTCCATTCCTTGATGGATTTTCTTTTGATAATGATTCTTAGTTTTTCATCCCCTGTCATTTACCTTCGAACTTCGATAGGTTTGCCATTGATGTTACATAGGAACCGTCCCAAAGATTACTTTTATGAATCTTCCAGAATAACTAGGCTTATCTTCTGAGGTTTTAACTTGTTTTTGAATATCAACAAGGACCTTTATTGTATCCTTTTGACTCTTTATTAATTCTTCAAATTTTGTCTTTGGTACTAGTAATTGACTTTTTACCATAGATTTGTACCGTCATTTGTACTTCGTGAATATGTTCGGAGAACTTAGAAGTGTAAGGATTAATTTCTTTCTAGTATGCAATCTTTTATAACTCATACCTAACTATGATTTTGATGGGCTAATTTTTTGATGATTTAATAAATTGGTTTGTAACAATTGGTTTACCCACAAGTTATCCAATGGATAGTGTATTCTTGTTGTTCTTGTTCGTACATCTTCAATTTTTTAAGTTATATGTTATAATGTATGTATCTTAGACAAATTTCACTATCAATTCCTTTTATATTTATCCTCACCAAAATTTAGTTACTATGTAAGAAATTTATTTATGAGTTCTTAATAAAATCTAGGCTTTAATACCAATTTATGCGAAACGTTACTCTCGGAATAATTTCAAGGCACTAGATACAAAGAAAACAGGTATAGCATGAAAAATTTAAAATTAAGGCACTCTTAAAAAAATGTACTATAATGAATGATAATAGATACTTTTTCTTTAGTCTCTAGGTATCTAGACAAAATCGTATTTTTAACTTTAGAGTGGATAAACTATTTTATCCTTATTATTTAATTAGGGAGTAGACTGATTTTTTTTTCTTTTTTCTTTTTTCTTTTTTTATCTAGAAACTGATTAGGAAAATGATTGCAGGATTAGGAGTTTATTTATAAATTGCCCCCGGCTGAAAATGAAATAAAAGTAAACTGACTATATAAGTTGAGGTTTCGTTTTCATGAAAGGATGTACTAACAGGCTTCTAGAAACAAGGTGGATGCATTTATGGCAGTATCGTACTTGCAGTATCGTACAAGGTGGATGCATTTATGGCTTCTAGAAACAGGCTTCTATAAAGTTAATAATGAAATACTTGCAGTATACAGTATACACTAGTTGACAGTATCGTACTTATTATGCAAAATTAAAGTGCACCGACCAAACAATTCGTAGTATAGACAATGCTTGTGCCTGTATACATCTGCGATTAATTTAATAAACTTTATTCCTATTATTATCCACTGATTATCCACTAATGTATTTCTTTGATTTAAAAGGCTTTATACTTTTTATTGTGTTTCAAGGGAATTTATTACTATAGAATCAGAAAATCAAGATAAAATATGCGATCTAATCCAATAATAATAATAATATGTAAAAACTCCGACTCGACTTTACATGCATCTGGATTGGTTTGATTAAAATTAAATAAATATATGACTTTATTCTTCAGAAATTAAAATAAGATGCGACTTTACCTTGACGAAGCCACTTGTTTGGTTGATATTCCCACTTCCCATTAGTATCAAAACCCCCTTCAATTGCACGCTGTCGGTAAGTAACATAACTTAGATTATGCAATTTGCAATTAATTATTTCCAAAAATTCAAAATCTATCAGCACTAGTTTACTACAATGTAAATAGTAAATGCTTATATTTTTTTCCAGAAGGTGGGTAGAGATTGCATTTGAATTATTGGTAAGTTAATTTAGAGCTTTGAGTTTAAATATTATTATTATTATTTAAATTAAATTCCTTTTTATTTATTCAATCCAACCACCTATACGTATTTGTTCATTCTGTGTAAAGAAATAAGATAATATCTAGTGATATCCAAAGTCAACATAAATAGTTTGGTAGATATTGATTTTTGTGGATCTCTTCCTTATTTGGTTATTAGTCAACATCTGTAAATTACATCTGAGCTTTTCCATTTAATCTCGTTAATTTTACAAATATTTTCGCTAAACTAATGGTTCATCAATTCAAATTGTGCCAATATTAATCCAGATATAACAATTCTGAGAAGAAGTACATCTGTGTGTGAAGTAATGAAAACATAGTTTATTGCAAATAATGTAAAATTAATCTATCAAACATTATAAGGTTATCATTTAAGTTCGTTATTATATAGAGCCAAAAGTTAGTTTGATAGAGTAACTGTCATAATAAGAATAATAACTTTATGATATATGAATAATTGCTAGTGAGTAATCAATACTTATTCCATTAATTTATTAACGTATAATTATGTAGTGTCAAGTTGAAATCTAGGGTCCTTAATGAAGTTCTTTATTACAAAATATAATAAAGAACTAAAGAGGTAGTAAACTTATTTGGAAGCCATGTTCTTTATTACAGAATATAGTAAAAAAGTAAAGAGAGAGTAAAATTATTTGAAATTCTAATTTTTTGAAAAGAATAATATTAATTACATTGGCTTACTATATATGTTATTGCCACAACATATAATTATCAAATTTCTATAGTTTTAAAAGATAAATCCCACAATTTCATAACATATATCACAATAAGTATACGCTTCACGATTTCGAACCAAATAAAAATGACATATTTAATCAAGCATTAAGAAAAATATTTTTTTTGTAGAAAAAACGCCAAAATTAAGATCAATTAAAAGGTTATCATATAGAAATAACTTTATGACTTGTGGATTATTACGTAGAGGTAATCAAATACTTGTTATATTAAGCAATGGATTTATTAACCTATAATTATGTAATGTCTCATTGAATCAAGTGTGCTTAAGGACTGTTTGTATATAAAATAATTCAATTCATACTCAATTTACACTCAGAATTTAACTCAACTTTAATACAATCACATTATCATCAATATTATCAACATAATTAAATAATATCAACATATAATTCTTACACATCAAATCAACTTTAATTAACTATTCATCCACCTACATAATTTTAACTAACTATCAATTCACATTATTTTTCTCTTATTTTTATATCAAATCAACTTGAATTATTTTATTTGAATATAGATTCAATAATCCACTAACAACTAACTATATCTTTTTTAAAATTAACTTAGTTAACAAAAAAACTCGTTTTGAACAAATATTAATCACACCTAGGAAAGCTATGGCCAAGAAAAAAAAAAAAGCTATGGCCATTTTAATCACTAAAAGTAAATCAATAATTGTGCATGTTGGGACCTCAATATCCCATGACATGTACGGTTCAAGAGAAATTGACATATTTTATTGGCTTATTTGCAATTCAAAGATTTTCTTGGGGCTAAAACGAATCTTTCTGAAAAATACTAGTCCATAAGTGGCCTCCCTTATCCAATCCGAGCCGTCCGTATAGCACGTTGGTACGTATTACGTAACCCTCAACCCCACCAAATGGTCGGCAGTCGGCACACTCTGATTATTATTCTAATTAAACAAATCCCTCAAAAATTAATAATTTTTTTTTTTCAAAAAAAAGGACAAATGTTAAACCACATAAAATGGCTTTGTTGTATGTACAAAATGGATTCACATTCACTCACCACGTTCTTCCTCTCCTACTCCTCGCTCTCCCCCACCGTCAGATCTGTAAACCCCTGTACCTTTCCTTTTCTCTCTTTTCTGTGTTTTTTCCGTCAAATTTTTGCATTATTAAGCGGAGGGCCTGCAGGTTGAGCGGCGGTGGTGGAGAGATTGCAGTGGAGTTGGCTGCGGTGGGTGTTGGATGCAAAGATTGATAATTTGGTTTTGGGTTATCTGTATTCTATCTTTCCTTCCATTTTTCACCCTGATAAAAGGATCGTGATTTGATCCGATTGGATCGAGGAACATAAATAGGCTACTTATTGTTTGAGATTGCAAAGGAAAGATGCAGCAGCAAGATAAAGGGAGGAAGGTAAATTTGATTTCCGAAGTGTTAACCCTTATTAGAAGTGATGTTGTTTGTGGGGTGAGGCATGTCTTTTATGTATCTTCAAATATTGGATAGATATTGTACTGAATATAGTAATTCATGATTGTTCATGAGCCAATATTTGCAACTGTGACTGATGATTTCATCATGGAGATAAGGGAGTTGAAATTCCGGCGTTTACCTACATGGATTTGTTCTTTTATTATCCTCCTCAAGAGCTCGAGGGAAAAATACTTCAGAAAGTTGTGATACGTCTATTTTGTGGCATAGCTTTTAAAGATTGGATCTTTTATCCACTGTGGATTCTGTTTTCTTGATGGTGCCCATGTTTTACGGAGTTTAGTTCTCATTGGGATTGCCTATTTACTTCTAAAGACTAGTGGAATTCTCAAATTGTCATGTTTATCTAGGGAGGTTCTGTGGCACTTTCTATAGATCTTACTTTTTCTTAGACTTTGAATTTTGTTTTAATGCTGTTGAAAAAGAAAAGGAACAAGAAAGAAAAGCTCAAACGAGTTATGTAATAACTAAATTTTCAACTACATACCTTTGCTTTTCATTTTACTTTCACATGTACTTCCAGCTTTCTCCATGATTAGGCAATGATATAGTACTTTTGCAGACCCCGAAAGATGTTGAGTTTTTCACCGAGTATGGAGAGGCCAACAGGTACAAAATCTTGGAAATTATTGGAAAGGGTAGCTATGGAGTTGTTTGTGCTGCCATTGACACGCAAACTGGGGAGAAAGTGGCAATAAAGAAAATAACAGATATTTTTGAGCATATCTCTGATGCTATTCGAATTTTGCGAGAGATTAAATTGCTTCGTCTTCTGAGACATCCTGATATTGTTGAAATTAAGCGGATTATGATGCCACCCTCTAGGCGTGACTTCCGAGACATTTATGTTGTTTTCGAGCTTATGGAGTCCGACCTTCATCAAGTCATAAAAGCTAATGACGACTTGACACAGGATCATCATCGTTTTTTTCTCTATCAAATGTTACGTGCGCTGAAATATATGCACACAGGTAACTAGAATAAATGACATTATATTTGGTTTGAAAGCAAATTAAATTGATGCATTCTGGTACATCAGATAAGGTATTATGTTTGCTTGTATGCATGTTTTGCTTTTCCTCCTTTTCCGGTATCTGCAACATATTGATTTTACATTATTTCAGTTTGAATGTGATAAACAACCTGGTCCGTTGTTTCTGTCTGATGTTGTTTGCTTTCAGCTAATGTCTATCATCGAGACCTTAAGCCTAAGAATATATTGGCCAATGCAAACTGCAAGCTTAAGATATGTGATTTTGGACTAGCAAGAGTGGCATTTAGTGACACCCCAACTACAATTTTTTGGACGGTATATTTTCCACTTTGTATTTTTTTTTATTGTTTCGCCATCTGCTCAGCCTATGATCAATGATAGTAGGATAAAATGGTGTGTTTCGACAGCTAATTTTTTGAACAATTTGTCTTACCTGCAGGATTATGTTGCCACAAGATGGTACAGGGCTCCCGAGTTGTGTGGATCATTCTTTTCCAAGGTAATTCAGCTCCATCCAAATTCCTACTGTTTTAAGTCAATCTTGATTCAACTGCTATACTCTAGTATTGTGGTCTTTTGCCACCTGATCAATCTAACCTCGTTTATTTTACTCAGTTTTGGGATTATAATTATATAAATCAATAAAAATTCATTTGACTCTTTATTACTCTATACTTGCATAAACTGCATGGTCTCAGATTTTTAATTGATATTTTGCTTTGTTAATGCTGAGTGACATGGATAAATTCGTCTATCTGCATGTTGACCCTAAGAACCTGCTGGAACTATCATTAGGACCTGTAAATTGTTGTAGCTCATATATATCTATCATTTTCATTTGGTAATCTGATAACTTGGTAGATAAAATGGTGTAATGTGCTTGTAGACTGTTGTTTGATTTGTAATTCATAGTATTTAGAGTCATCATATGTGTAGTAATTGTAGATTAAAATAATTCTTGTTCAGGGAGGATTATTGAAACTCTCCTGGAAGTTGTTGATACTTCTGTTCTACAGAGGTAATTTGTGTCAGGTCTTGCATATTTTCCTGGAGGGATTCTCCATTTTTTTGTTCCTTTTTTAATTTGTCTCATGTCTTGTGTGATTCTTGCAGTATACCCCTGCAATTGACATTTGGAGCATAGGATGTATATTTGCGGAGGTCTTGACAGGGAAGCCGTTATTTCCGGGTAAAAGCGTTGTGCATCAACTGGACTTGATTACTGATCTTCTCGGTACACCATCAACAGACACAATATCAGGAGTAAGGAACATGCTCTTTCTATGAAGCATTTTTACCCTTGTAATATTTATTAAATATGTGTAACTGGTTATGTCCTGGATGCAGGTGAGAAATGAGAAGGCGAGGAAGTATTTAATGGACATGAGGAAAAAGCGTGCAGTGCCTTTTGCCGAAAAAATCCCAAATGCTGATCCTTCAGCTCTCAAACTATTACAAAGATTGTTGGCATTTGACCCAAAGGATCGTCCAAGTGCTGAAGAGGTGGGTTTGCCGCCTGCTTAATATCTGCAGTACAATGTTTGTGCAATGTTTGCTCATTGTTTGGATTCAAATGCTGGTCCAGTCGTTTTTAACCTCTGCAATTGATTTTTGTTTTATATCTTTGTATTATAGGCATTAGCCGACCCTTACTTCAAGGGGCTGTCTAAGATTGAGAGGGAGCCCTCTTGTCAACCAATCTCAAAGTTGGAATTTGAGTTTGAGCGGCGTAGAGTGACAAAAGAAGATATTAGGGAATTGATATTCCGGGAAATATTGGAGTACCATCCTCAGTTGTTGAAGGACTACATGGCAAGAAATAGTGGCACAAGTTTTCTGTATCCGAGGTATGAGCCTTTCGATTCAATCCTGTGAATTCGATATATTAGCTCTATATTTTTTGGTTGGTAAATTTCTGTATTATTGTCCAGTGCTATTGGACACTTTAAGAAGCAATTTGCGTACCTGGAGGAAAATTCTGGGAAAAGTGGGCCTGTGATTCCTCCTGAGAGAAAGCATGTTTCTCTTCCAAGGTTGGTTTTAAACTTCATGTTTGTTTTACTAATGGTAATTTCATATATCAATGAGGAAAGAACCAACACGCTTATTGATCATTGTCATGACTTATTGCACGCCGCACTTACTCAACTTGATTGAGACTGTACTTGCCTTATAAACTTCCTTGAGCAAAACCATATCAAGTAGCTTGGTCTTATATATTCTCCCATTCTTTAAAAACAATATTATCTTT